TACAGATGTGAGCCACCACACCCCATGTTGTGGTTTTAATTGAGCGTTTTATGAGATTCAGTTTTCTCTTTTCGTAGCATATAAATTTTACCTTTTTCTGTTTTTTTTTACTTTTTTGGTGATTACCCTAGAGTTTACAATCTACATTTAAAGCAATCCAAGACTGCTTTTAAATAACACAATAACACTACCGCTTCATAGACTGTGGAAGTACATTATAATAACAGAGTATTCCTAATTTTTCCTGTCTGTCATGTTTTCAGTTCACATACACATTGCTGTCCTTCATTTCACTTGTACATAAGCTATAATCATTCGATTGGGAATGGGCTATTTTCACATATGAGATTTGTCCAAATTGTTGGGTTTATTAATAGTTGTTTCCTGTTATTTCATTGTATGAATGTTCCAGCTTGCTTATCAGTTTACTTGTTGAAGGACATTTGGGTTGTTTCCAGTTTGGCTATTACAAATAGAGCTGCCGTGAACATTTATGTATTTTTTTTGTTGCTCACTTTTCATTTCTCTAGGATTATAGGTTAGGGGGTCAATTGCTGGGTTGAATGGCACATATGTGTTTAACTTTATAAGAAACTACTAAACCCTTTTCCAGAATGGTGGTATGATTTTATATTCCCAGCAGGAACATACAAGAGATCCAGTTTCTCAACATCTTCAGCAGCATTTGGAACTGTCAGTGTTTCTTATTTTAGCTTTTCCAGTAGATGTGCAGTGGTATGTCATTGTGGTTTTAATTTTCAGTTCTCCAATGGCTAATCATGTTAGGATATCTTTTCATGTGTTTATTTTCCTTGACTAATCATCTTTGGTCGTGTGTTAAAATCTTTTGCACATTTTCTAATTGGATTGTTTGTTTTGTGAAGCTTAGAGAGTTCTTTATATGATCTAGATACAAGTCCTTTGTTGGATATGTGATTTTCAAATATTTTTTTCAAGTCTGTGGCTTGTCTTTTCATTCTCTTAGCAGAGTCTTTTACAGACTAAAAGTTTTTATTTTCGTCTTTTTTTTTTGAGATAGAATCTCACTCTGTCACCCAGACTGAAGTGCAGTGGTATGATCTTGGCTTACTGCAAACTCTGCCTCCTGGGTTCAAGTGATTCTTGTGCCTTAGCTCCCCGAGTAGCTGGGATTACAGGCGCATGCCACCATGTTTTCTAATTTTTGTATTTTTAGTAGAGACGGGGTTTTACTGTGTTGGCAAGGCCAGTCTTGAACTCCTGACCTCAAGTCATCTACCTGCCCCGACCTCCTAAAGTGCTTGGATTACAGGCATGAGCTACTGTACCTTGCCCAAAAGTTTTTAATTTGATGAAAGCACAGTTTATCAGTTTTTTTTTTTTAATGGATTGTGCTTTCTTCTTATTTTTTAAAAGTTGGAATCTCCATGCACCACCACACCTAATTAAAATAATTTTTTTTAGAGACAGAATATTGCTATGTTGCCCAGGCTGGTGTCGGATCCCTGGCCTCAAGTGATCCTTCTGCCTCAGCTTCCTGAGTTGCTGTGATTATAGGCATGATCCAGTGCACCTGGCCACGAAATATTGTATTTTTAATCAAAGTAGTATAAGGACATGGTTTTGAAAAGTCAACTAATATGAGACTTAACATAAAAAACTGCTCTATCACCCTCCCCACTCCAGAGTCCTTTTCCTCAGAGGTGGCCACTTTCAAATCTATAAGCTGTTGCTTCTTGCTATTTACCTTCTTATTTATTTATTTTGAGACAGAGTTTCACTCTAGCTAATTTTTATATTTTTAGTAGAGTTGGGTTTTTATTGTGTTGGCCAGGTTGGTGTTAAACTTCTGGCCTTAAGTGATCTGCCTGCCTTGGCCTCCCAAAGTGTTGGGCTTATACCGCATCTGGTCCTACCTCCTTATTTGTAACATACATTTTTACTGTGCTTTTTGCTTTAGTAACTTTATATATTTTCTATTGAGCACTACCTATGATGGAAGATGAAAATGTAGCATTCATAGACCACCAATCCTGCTTCTTTTTCCAGAATCTTCTCAGTATAGTTACCTCACAATTTTTGGTTAAATATTTGGTATTTATATCATAATAATTATGTAAATATTCATTACCATTGAATTTTGTCATATACTCTGATTATATGACCTTTCTTGAATAATTTCTGTTTTTCCCAAAGTATTTGGTCTGTATAAAAATAATATATTTTCCGTATAACTATTATTCGTTGCTTCTAAATTCCCCTATACCATTGTAACATTCCTCAGAATAAGGTTAGACACATCAAGTGAACTATCAGTTCTATGCTTTCTTCTCCTGGAGATCTGGGAGCCATTTTGACTCTTGTCCCAGCCTGCTGCATGGCTATTACTTACTATACCACTGCCCTGTGTTGGATCCCCTGTTTCTTGAATTTCTTCCTTTTTCTTGGCTTATTTCCTCATGTGGAAGGAGTATATCTTGTAGCTTTCTTGTAGGTTCCTGGGAGGTCTTTTGAATCCTGGCAAATCAGAAAAAAAATTTTTTTTCAAAGTCTCTCTCTCTTGCCTAGGCTGGAGTGCAGTGGTGTGATCTCAGCTCACTGCAGCTTCCACCTCCTAGGTTCAAGCAGTTCTCTGCCTCAGCCTCTCGAGTAGCTGGGATTACAGTCACCTGCCATCATGCCTGGCTAATTTTTTTGTATTTTTAATAGAGACGGGGTTTCACCATCTTGGCCAGGCTGGTCTTGAACTCCTGACTTCATGATCCACCCGCCTCAGCCTCCCAAAGTACTGGGATTACAGGCGTGAGCCATTGTACCTGGCCAGAAAATATATTTATTCTACTTTCAAACTTAATTGGTAGCTTGAAAAGCTATAGAATTCTAGTTAAATTATTTCCTCTTGGCCAGGCTCAGTGGCTCACACCTGTAATCTCAGTGCTTTGGGAAGCCAAGGCAGAAGGAGTTTGAGAACAGCCTGGGCAACACAGTGAGACTCTATCTCTGCCAAAGAAAAAATATTAGCTGGGCTTTGGTGGCATGTACCTGTAGTTCCAGCTACTCAGGAGGTGTGAGGATCCCTTGAGCCTAGGAGTTTGAGGTTACAGTAAGCCATGATCATGCCACTGTACCCCAGCACTGTACTTAGCAACCGAGTGAAACCCTGTCTCTTAAAAAAACAAACTTGCACTAGATATGGATAAATCCATAATGTTTTTTGCAAGTTTTAAAATCTTATGGTCTGGTGAAACTATACTATATATATTAGGTAGCTTTCTTTTTTTTAAACATTTTATAGTTTTGAGATGTATCCATTTAGCTCTGTTTCATTTATTTTCACTAGTATATTATGTCCCCTTATAATTTTGATAGCTTAAAATACTATTGTAAGTTAGGGGTTTATGTATTTCAGGGTATTTTTTGTTTTGGTTTGTTTTGTTGCCCAGGCTGGAGTACAATGGTACAATCTCGGCTCACCGCAACCTCTACCTCCTGGATTCAAGTGATTCTCCTGCCTCAGCCTCCCGAGTAGCTGGGATTACAGGCATGGGCCACCATGCTCAGCCAATTTTGTATTTTTAGTAGAGATGGGGTTTCTTGATGTTAGTCAGGCTCGTCTCGAACTCTGACCTCAGACCTCAGATGATCTGCCTGCTTTGGCCTCCCAAAGTGCTGGGATTGCAGGCATGAGCAACTGTGCCTGGCTTTCAGGGTGTTTCTTTATAGCATTTTCTAATTGGGCTTAACAAGTCCTATTTTAAGAAACTAAACCTTATGATTAGCTGGCTTAATATAAAGTCTTGATTGAAGCTGAATTCAGTTGAAGTGAAATTGAGTTATTAGGGCCCCTGTCCTCTTGCAGGAAGGATGAAAGTAATGGCCGGCCTCAGGTTCAGGGGAAGGTGATAGGAGCCAGATCAGTGTTTCTCTCTCAGATTCAGAAGACCCAGCTGTCCATGTGCATCACTGGGGAAGCCTCTTGCCCTGAGAATAAGCACCTCAGTCCAGCTTCCAAATTTTGACCATGGCTTCAGTGCCGTTGTGGAATGAAGAGGGACATGAGGAAGCAAGCGAGTCACTAATACACATTCTCACCTGACCTGAGCTGCATTTGGTCCCTGGACCCATGTAGTTTCCTTTTGTTGTGATGGTAATTTTAAACTAGTATAAATTATTGATCTTATCACCATTTTATTATTGAATGAGAGACCTTTTCTAGACAAATCAAGATAAAACATCTAGAGCTATGTTAAGTGTGATGTAAGGAAGACAGTGATTCATATTTGTAACTATTAGTTTTCTTCCGTTAGTGACTGAGAACAACCAGTACTGAAGAGCCTTGTGCATACTAATTGTTTATTCACTCCTTTGTTCCTTCAACATACTGTTTAGGGAATGCCTCTTACATGCTAGCCTAATCATTGGGGATAAAAAGATGAATAAGATAATTCCTGTCATAGACATGTGCATGGTTTAGGAGAAGAGGCATGTCAACAAAAACTACATTTGTGCACTATAGCAGAATGAGAGAAACATTACATGTGATTCCTTTGTAATTGGGATCTTTCACTTGAAGTGGGTAATTCAGATTTGTCCCCATGATCCCCATAAGTGGAGGTAGCACATGGTGATTACTAGAGCTATGTTATCTTCGTTGCACATTCAAGCCATCCAGATTTCTGTATTTCTTTATCAGCATTGTTTTGGTTATCAAACAGCTTCATTTTCAGACTGTTAATAAAGTTATTGTTATGATTTTGCTCTGAGACATTTTCTTGGGTAGAGGCATGCCCATTCTAAGATACGTGGTATAAGTACCATATAGATTTGGATTTCTGTGTTTGTATTGGCTAAGACAGGTGATAGCCCTGTATTTCTTGTAACTTTGTATCTGATGTCTATTATATTTACAAATACAGACAAATGTGATTTTCTTTAGTACGTTTATAGTTTTTTTGTAGGTAGGCAAAGCATGATGACTTTTGAACAAGTTTAAAGTTTTTTTTGTTTTCATTTTTTCATAGGTTGTCTTGTGGAAATGCAGGCTTAAGGACAAGTTACCTGCCAAACTAGAAGATGGGATCGAACAGCAGCAGAATCGGTGATCTTCCTAAAAATGAGTACTTGAAAAAATTATCAGGCACAGAATCTGTCTCTGAGAATGACCCGTTCTGGAACCAGCTTCTCTCATTTTCTTTCCCTGCACCAACTAGCAGGTAGGAGATTGTCTGGATATTGAAAATTTGAATACAGGGCCATATCAACTTGTGTGGTATGCTGATTTAAAAAAAAATTTAGGAATGTTCTGTCTGTCTATCTGTCATACATAGACCCCTAGAAACTCCAAAAGGTTTGGAAGTAGAAAATAAGCTTTTCTATTCTTTTCACCCCACTCAGCAGCCGCTTCCCTTCTTTAGAAGTGATCACTGGTAGCAATTTATTTGGAATCATTCTAGAGATAGTATAGGTTACTTAAGCATATATCCCGTATAGTTTCACAAAATTGTTTAAATACAAATGATAGCAAACGATATGTGTACTGTTCTGTCCCTTGCTTTTTACCCCACAGTTAAGTAAAATATATCTTGTACATGTGACACTTGCGCAACTGCCTGATTCTTTTTAATGCTATGGAGTATCTGTAGAATGTATTTCATCGGTTTTATGTTGATGAACAATTAGATTGTTTTCATTCTTTGTTGTAACAGGTATTGCTGCCTTCATCATTTCTCATACATACAAATGTATCTTTAGTATAAATTCCTTGAAGTAGAATTGCTGGGTCAAAGTGTATGTGTATTTGCAATTTGGTGTCTATGCCAAATTGTGCTCCATGGAAGTTGTGGCATTTACACACCTACCAGCAATGTATGAGAGGTGTGTTTCCCCATAGTTTTGTCAGTTTGATGCATTTTTAGACCAGTTTATCTCATTTTAAACTCTTATAAAAACTGACAGACAATAATAATGTAGAATGACTACAATATTGAATTCTCATAGACTTAATAACTAGATTAAAAAAATTTTATTTACTTTTTAAGAGCTTTCTTATGATAGGCAGAATAGTAGCCCCCCAAAGATGTCCACGTCCTTGTCTGGAGGATCTGAATATGTTACATTATATTGCAAAGGGGAATTAAAATAGCAAATGGCATTAAGGTTACTTGTCAGCTGCCTTTAAAATAGGGAGATTATCCTGGATTATCTGGGCAGGCCCAGTATAATCACAGGATTCTTGAAAATAGAAGAGGGAGGTAGAAGAGAAAGTCAGATGTGATGCGAGGAGGACTCATCCTGCCCTTGCTGGCTTTGAAGATGGAAGGGAGGTCATGAGCCAAGAAATGTGAGCAGCTTCTAGAAGCTGGCAGAGGCAAGGATGCAGATTTCCCTCTAGAGCCTCCAGAAAGGAATGCAGCCTTCTTGACATCTTGATCTTAGCTTATTGAGTGTTAGACTTCTGACCTGCAGAACTGTAAGATGATAAATTTATGTTGTTTACACCACTAAATTTTGATGACTTTTATAGTAGCAATACAAAAGTAATACACTTTTTGAGATATGCTTCATATATCATGTAATTCACCCATTTAAAGTATATTATTCAGTGTTTTTATTCACAGAATTGTGTAACAATCTCTAGTCAATTTTAGGACATTATTATCCCAGAAAGGACCTCTATCCCATGCCCATTAGCATACATTACCCCAAACTCTAGATTACACTAGCAACCACGTATTTATTTATTTTTTGACGGGGAGTTTCACTCTGCCACCTAGGCTGGAGTGCAGTGGTGTGATCACTGCTCAGTGCAATCTCTGCCTCCTGGATTCAAGCAATTCTCCTGCCTCACCCTCTGGAGAAAGTGGGATTACAGGTACATGCCACCACACCTGGCTAAATTTTGTATTTTTTGTGGAGATGAGGTTTCACCATGTTGGCCAGGCTGGTCTCGAATTCCTGACCTCAAGTGATCCACCCTCCTCAGCCTCCCAAAGTGCTGGGATTACAGGCATGAGCCATTGTACCCGGCCACGAATTTAGTAACTACTACTAAGTTTGCCTCTTCTAGATGTTTCATGTAAATGGAATTGTAACAATAGGTGGTCTTTTGTAACTGGATTCTTTATTTTCTTTTTCTTTTTTAGAGATGGCGTCTTGTTATGTTGCCCAGGCTGGTCTTGTACTCCTGGGCTTAAGCAATCCTCCCACTTTGGCACCCCGAAGTGCTGGGATTACTAGCGTGAGCCACCACACCTAGCCATGACTGGCTTCTTTGACTGGGTGTAATATTCATACATGTTGGAGCATGTACCAATACTTCCATTCCTTTTTTTTATTTTTTTGAGACAGGGTCTCAGGCTATTGCTCAGGCCGGATTGCAGTGGTATGATCTTAGCTCATTACAGCCTTGAACTCCTGGGCTCAAGTGATCCTTCCACTTGGTTACTGAGTAGCTGGGACCACAGGCATGTGCCACCATGCCTGCCTTTTTTTTTTTTTGAGACAGAATCTTGCTCTGTTGCCAGGCTGGAGTGCAGTGGGGTGATCTCGACTTACTGCAACCTCTGCCTCCTGGGTTCAAGCAATTCTCCTGCCTTAGTCTCCTGAGTAGCTGGAATTACAGGCATGTGCCACCATGCCCAGCTAATTCTTGTATTTTTAGTAGAGACAGGGTTTTACCATGTTGGCCAGGACGGTCTCTATCTCCTGACCTGTGATCTGCCTCCCTCAGCCTCCTAACGTACTAAGATTACAGGTGTGAGCCACCGTGCCCAGCCCATGCTTGACTGTTTTTTAAAAAAATTTTGTAAACATAAGGTCTTGTGATGTTGCCCAGGCTGGTCTTGAATACCTGGCCTCAAGTGATCCTCCTTCCTCTGCTTCTGAAAGTGTTGGGATTATAGGCATGAGTCACTGCACCAGCCTCTATTCCTTTTTATTGCTGAGTGATACTCCATTGTGTGGATATACTACGTTTTGTTTATCCATTCAGAAATCATTTGGGTTGTTTCTATATTTTGTTCTTTATTTTTTAAGTATCTTAAAGTATATATTTTTTTACATAACTCTAATACCATTATCACACCTAACAAAATTAACTATAATTCCTGCTACCCAGTTTATATTTAATTTTTTCCAGTTGTTTTATAGTTTATTACAATTAGGAGCCAAATAAGGTGCGTATGTTGCATTTGATGGTTCTCGTTCTTTAGTGTCTTTTAATCTAGAGTAGGTATCCACTTCCCACCCTTGCCACTGTTTTCTCCTTCATGCCATTTTAAAAACAAATTGTGTCAGTTCTTCTGTAAAATGTTCCATCTTCTGTATTTATCTGATTGCTTCTCTTACCTTGTAACTTGTTCTTTTATTCCATATATTTCCTGCAAATTGGAAATGAGATTTAAAAGCTTGATAAAATGTAGGTTAATCATTTTTTGGTAAGATATTCTTTATGTAGAAAAAGTATGTTTTATATCAGTTATCATGCTAAGATTGATCAGAATTTTGAGTGTATTTTAGCAACTGTTGATCTTTGTCTGAATGACCTGTTTTATAGGAGGTTACAAAACGGTATTTCCAATACAGTCATTTCTACATATTACCAGGAGTTCTTCTGTAAAGAGGACTTTACATCATCAGTTAGGTTATGTAAAGTTTTTACTGTATTTATTACTAAATAAGGTTAAGCACTTCATTTGTTTTCTTTACTAGTTTTCAGAAAGGGATTGATGTAATCGTGACAAATGAATCTGTACTTCTCTTCTCCCTTGACCTCAGAGGTAGAGGGCCTATTTCTCTGTCTTTTGACACTCTCTCTCGCTCTCTCTCTCTCTCTCTCTCTCTGTGTGTCTCACATTTTTCAGTGTGACTAATTACAGCTGTTTTTTTGTTTTTTTTTTAATTTTTAAAATAATTTTGTTGTTGGACGTTAGGTTCCGGGGTACATGTGCAGATCATGCAGGGTTGTTGCATCGGTACTTACATGACAAGACACTTACATTGGCAAGGTGGTTTGCTACCTCCATCCTCCTGTCACCTATATCTGGCATGTCTCCCCATGTTATCCCTTTCCAACCTCCTCACCCTCCACTGTCCCTCCCTTGGCCCCTCCTGCAACAGACCCCAGTCTGTGATGCTCCCCTCCCTGTGTCCATGTGTGCTCTTTGTTCAATGTCTGCCTATGTGTGAGAATGTGCAGTGTTTGTTTTTCTGTTCTTGTGTCAGTTTGCTGAGAATGATGGTTTCCAGATTCATCCATGTCCCTACAAAGGACAAGAACTCATCAGTTTTTATGATGTTAGCTGTTTTTCTTTTTGATATCCAGTTCAGCAAGTTTTGGATAGTGGTCCTTGTGGTTTTATTTGCCTTTCTTAAATATTTAAGATTGTGTTTATTTTCATATGTTTAAGGAGTATTGATATTTCCTTTTCCATGAGCTGTTTGTCTTTTAGCAATAAATTTTAATTTTTAACTTTATTGTATACAATTGGATTGTGCCTTAGAAGTTTAACTTAGTTTAAGCTGGGCGCGGTGGCTCATGCCTGTAATCCAGCAGTTTGGGTGGCTGAGGTAAGTGGATCACCTGAAGTCAGCAGTTCAAGACCAGCCTGGTCAAATGGTGAAACCCTGTCTCTACTAAAAATACAAAAAATTAGCTGAGCATGGTGGTGAGTGCCTGTAATCCCAGCTAGTCGGGAGGCTGAGGCAGGAAAATCTCAGTTGCAGTGAGGCAGAGGTTGCAGTGAGCCCAGATTGCGCCACTGTGCTCCAGCCTGGGTGACAAGAGCAAGACTCTGTCTCAAAAACAAACAAACAAAAAAAACAAAAAGAAGTTTAACTTAGTTTATAATTAATCTGATGACTTGGATTAGATATATTTTATATTGAAGTGGTTACTTATTTCTGCTTCTGAGATCCTTGGAAAATTTTTGTCCACCTGTGCCAGTCGAAGTTATTATGGCTTTATAGTTTGTTTTGTTAATTATTACTTTTACTGAAAGATTTCTTTGCTGCTCTCATGTGTTTATTCTTTTCAATGCCATTCCCTTTTCTTAAATCACCCTGGTTTATAGAGAAAGGTATAAAGGGATCTTAGAAAGTGAAAAAATTGTGACGTGAATAAACTGTGCGTTGTATATCTGTGGGGATATATTTACAAAGGTTTCTCTCCCCACCACCGCCTCAAGTGAGTCCACATGATAGAGGTTTCATTTGT